TTGCTTGTAAGCATGAGTTCGTTATGATGAGATCGTTGTGCTATTTATGTGTTGAAATCTTTATGTAGTTAAATCATTTGTATTGAAGCATGCATGTGGATATTATAGGTTGCAAGCATATAGAAAGTCTGTGTTGTATCTACAGTTGTTTATGGGTTGAGATTGTTTGACTTAGTAAGCGAACAAATGTTTTTCTAAAAGTATATTCTATACTACTTTACATGGTTGAGTGTAGTTATACTTAGATTCATGCTAATGGGTGTTTTTCCTATTTGTCTATGTGTTGTTTGTAAAACCCCTTTCAGGTGGGCCCAGCGTTGAGAAGTGATCGAGTTAGACTAGTCTAGTAATTATAGAAGTCTAAACTCTTATTACTTTTATTCTGATCTTATTGGTCGGATTTATAGACTTACGATGTTGATGATGTTTGATGATGTAGACTTCGGGGTATCTTTTTCCCCCTTATGACTTTCGGTTAAATTTATGGATGTTAGTATTTTATCTTTATTTCTAGTTTTACCCTTAGCATATGCAATCACCACAGAGTGGTGGTTGTGGCGGTGACATTCCCACTAGTTTTCTTATTAAGTCAATTATCTGCTACTTTAATTTGTTTATGTTAATAGTGGTTTAGAATTGTAATTAAGATTTAGAAAAAGTGGGGTGTTACATAAGGAAAGGAATCTCCACGGAATTCGCTGCTAAACATTTTAGGGCGCGCACTCGGTCGAGGACGCACTGACTACCTGACGAGGAAGCCCGGCTAGGGAGCTGTGCCACCTAGACAAAGACGCACCGACCACTGAGCCTAGTCGCCCACTCGGGTCCTTGGAGGGAACCCAGTCGGGGACACACCGACTATCGAGCCTAGTCGCTTTGCCTGAACCAGCCAACTCTTGCCCAGGTACGCGTTCGTCTGCTAGCCTGGTCTCCCGGGTGCCTCGCTAGAAAGGCGGGAAACATGACAGAAGTCGTTTATCTTGAATCGCCATGTTATGCCGTGCTAGAGCCTAACTTCCCTTTTGCACTTTCTAGATCAGGTGTCCGATTTGGGGTATCTATCACACACACACACACACAAACGCGCCCACGCATGCATGCACGCGCGCACATACACACTATTATAGTGATTTGTGTGATTGTTACATCATTTAATCATGTTGGTCTGCCATCTTACTAGCCAGGTAGACAAACAATTTTACTTAATTATTCCATTTCAAACAATGTAAGATTAAATTGACTAATTATATATATATATATATATATATATATATATATATATATATATATATATATATATGTATGTATATATATATATATATATATATATATATATATATATATATATACACACACACACACACACGCACAAATGTGCTCATATGCGGTCATCATCTGTCATGCGGTCGTGTAGCCTAATACACATCGTCCGATAATTTTCATCCAAAGGCGCTGGACAATCTCAATGCGCCATGTATCACTTGCAAATGCACCACACAACACTCCAGTTGATCCCGATACCGAAGGTAAGAGTCTAGAGGGGGGGGGGGGGGGTGAATAGACTCTTAAAAGCAATTTTTGGTAACTAAACTCGAAAGAGTGATGCACAACGGAAATTAAGTGTTCTTGCTATTGTGCTTCGCACCTGTTGAGTTCGAATGGTATTGCTTAGATTTGATATGAATGCAATGCACAGCAGTAAAGCAACAATAAATAAAAGGGTGGAGAGAGAGATTTTATAGTGGTTCGGCTATTAAGAAAGCCTACTCCACTCTTCTTTCACAACTCGTGAAAGTGTTTGCACTATCACTCCTTAGTACAAACTAAGCCAAAGTTGCTTCCTTGATCACTAAGCCAGACAGCAACTTGCTCAAGTTTTTCAACTCCCCCGAGTTTACTCCGCCTCTATCAACTTCTACAGAGGTGAGTGTTGTTGGAAAGGATTGATGGCATCTCCAACTTGAAATCTTGACTTGATGAAGCCTGATCTTCATATTGACTTGTGCAAGATTTCTTGATGATGTGAAGATTTTTAGAGTTAGATTATCTTTAAAAGAATCTTCACAAACACACACTGGTCGCAATATAACTTGTAGCTTTGAGATATTTTGAAAGCTTTTGTTAACAATAGAGTGATAACCAACACCTTCTTCAAGTGGTGAAAGAGGGATATTTATAGGTGAGAGAAATCCATCCGTTGGAGGAAGATGAGATTTCAAAACCTATTAACCATTGTGTAATATCTACTGGGTAAGGAGTCTTTTAATGCGACTTGTACTACGTAGTCGTTGGCATAAAAAAGGTGACCTACCTTTTTGTCTTTTAGTGCTGTCAAAAGAACCAAACATTGCTCATTGGGATTCAAAACTTCATTCCTAGGACACCATTTGTCTAGGATGATTTCCCTAGCATTGAGACTTGGACATTTATGCTTCCGAAAGCATGTAAGGCTTGTCCAATTTAGTCAGATATTAACTCGTAGTCTTGGGTTCTGGTAACGAATGATTGTCCTTAACATTTGTTGTCTTCACATCTCAAATGACCTTTCTTTGTCATTTGTAAATTACACAAGAGATAGACCCTTCCAGGTTTCGGTCTGCAAGAATCTCTTGGCCTGACCTACTTTCGGTCTTCTCTTCACTTGATCTTGATGATGACTAACTGACGATGCATTGTTTCGTGTAGGTACTCTACGAAACATGTAAATGGCAAACACGTCCTACTGGATGATTCGTTCTACCCGAAAGACTCTAAACAACGAGATTAAAAAGAGGGGGGAGGGGGGAGGATCTAAATCTCTAAGTAGTTTGGTATCATCAAAATCTAATTACACAGTTCCTAACACACTCAAAAATGCACCACACACTAGCACGTAATACACCTCGTTGACGGGTCTATTGAACCCGTCGACGGGTTTGACACCCCCGTTGAGTGGTGTAATACAAAACAATGCACCATTAACCACTCAAAATTGCACCACAGAGCACTCAAAATTGCACCGCACACTAGCACATAATGCACCCCGATAACGGGTTTATTGCACGCGTCTACGAGTTTGACACCCCCGTTAAAGTGGTGTAATAAAAATCAATGCACCATTAATCACTCAAATCTGCACCATAGAGTACTTAAAAATGCACTACACACTAGCATGAAATGCACCATTGAAATCATTGAAATATAAGGTGCTATATATATATATATATATATATATATATATATATATATATATATATATATATATATATATGATTGGGGATTGGGATAAAATGAAAGCTACTTCCTTAGTGAGAATGTGAGAACTAATCTTATCCGTCCATCTAAGATGATCAATGACTTTAAAAAAAAAAAATGTTGTGCCATATTTGTCATTATAGTTGTGCATTTGAGAATGCTATATTGTGAATTTTAAAAATAATTGAGAATGAAATTTGAGAAAAGTTTGTAAATGCACAATCAAGCATTACAAGATGCAGAATCATAATTACAAAATTAATTATAGAAATGACACCACAGTTTTTTTAGGAAAATACTTGATAGTGTGTTTAGAAAATGTTTCAAGATGCACAACCAGTTATCCGCGAATGCACAATCAGGGAATATAAGATACACAATCATAATTACAAAAATATCACTGCGATTTGTGTTTTATTTTCAACCTTTGATCATCTTAGATTGATCGATGAAATTTATTCACAGTTCTCACATAAGGGGTGGTTAATGAGATCATGTTCATCGACACACACACGCTAGTATTTTATACGTGTGATGCGCAAAAATATATGTTCAATAATAATAGTAATAATAATAGTCAATGTTCAAATCTTAATTAAATTAAAATAATTTTTAAAATAATACTCCGTTGTAAATAATTTTTTTAATTCATTGTTGTAGAATTTAAATTATTTTAATATATAATTGATAATTTGAGTAATAATTATGATATATTTAATATTAAAGTAAGAATTTTAGATATAATAAATTACTAAATATAATTATGGTAACAATTAAACCAAATATATGAATTATTTATTTGAATATTTAACAGTAAATAAGTACATGGACTTGTGCTAAAAATTTTGTGTTCACGTAGTAACTCGCTATATGTACTAACTAGTATTTGTCCCGTGCGATGCACAGAAAATATGTTATAAAAATATACCTTATATGAGGTTTATTCATATATAAAATTTTTGTTATTTAATAATTATTATGTGTGAATTCCTATGATAAAATTATGAACATAAATACATTTACAATTAAAATAATATTTAAGGTGGGTGATTACTACAAATCTTAAACTATATTAAAAATTTAGTACATAGTATTTAATATTACAAATTTTTAAGAACTTAGTAAACTACAATAGTCATTGAATTACAATTTTAGAGTCACCACAGATCAAAATTTTTAGACCTTAGCTTTGAGATTTCCAACTCTAGATGTAGCAACATACAATTGACCTCTAAAGACCAAAATCACAATCTTAGTTCGAACATTGATTTTTTCTTCCAAATACTATCGAATTAAGTGTGTAATCAATAAAAGGTGAGAACTAATAATTCGAGAATATAATCTTAATGTTACTAAGCCTATTTCACGTCAATTAAGTTGGAGAGTGTTGTTGGATAGTATCCGATAAATCCACGAATAACGCATCTTTGTCTCCGTAGTCCTCAATATGCACATCAACAATCTTAAATATTAGGCCCCTAGCTATGCCATATATTAATTTCAAACTTATGAACTTTGGGGTTGCATGCAATAAAAAGTATATTTTAAATATACTAAGGGTACATTCTATATGTATGTAAGGTACTTTCAATATTTAAAAAATGTATTTTTAATATATTAAAAATGTATTTGATATTCATGATCCATACAATTATTATTATTATTGCAATTATTATTATTATTGTTATTATTGTTATTGTTATTATAATTAACAACAATATTATTATGGTGTATAATTTTGTCATTCACTATTTCTTATGTAATAGATGGAGTCTCAAGAAACGCTCTCGTCACCGCGCTCTTCTGAAGATTTGGATCTCTTGGAGCGTAGCACTAAGAGGTCTAAACGGGCGACGATGACTGATGATCAACGATTGATGCCGAGCCAGGAGATTGTCATGGTGCAAGAGACGCCGGAGGGTGGCATGGAGGCTGGTTTTTCCACGAACCCGACGATGGAGGCATGCGGAGAGATCGTCCCATCGGCACAGACGGAACCACCGCGACCGCCGGTAGATCAACGAAGATCGTATATGGATAGTCTGATGGGGAGGACTGGGGCCGATCCAACCAGACTAGACGACCAGGAAGAACCAAGCCAAACCCACGATGAGCTGATCGAAGAAGAAAACGATGATCCTCTGTGCCCGACCATTCGTCTGACTAAGGAGGAGGTGGAGAAGATACGTGCGCCATGGCGGAAGTCTATGATTCTGAAGGTGTTGGGGAGACGTGTGGGATATGCCTACATGCTTAGGAGGCTCACGTCCATGTGGAAACCGAAAAGTAGCATGGACCTAATTGCACTGCCAAACGACTACTTCCTGGTAAGGTTTGGATCCATTGATGATCTTGAGTTTGCTTTGTTTGAAGGTCCCTGGGTGGTCTTAGACCACTACTTGATCGTGAAGCCGTGGGAGCCCGACTTCGATCCGATGAACGATGCTACGAAGAAGATGGTAGTGTGGGCGCGGATTCCGTGCATTCCAATGGAGTATTACGACTATATTTTCCTCCGGAAGTTGGGGAGAAGGATTGGAAGAGCTGTTCGAGTGGATCAGGCCACCAGCATGGGATCGAGAGGGATGTTTGCAAGGATATGTGTGGAGATCGACATGCGCAAACCTATCATCTCTAAGTTTACTTACGAGGGGAAGACAAGACATGTGGCTTATGAGGGACTGCACCTAATCTGTTTCTCATGCGGCCTTTATGGCCATGCGAAGGAGAATTGTCCGCTGCTGAAAAAGGCAGGCCGAGGGCAAGAGGAGGATGGGGAGGCAAGAGCTGAGGCTGAACACGATAATACAGATCATACACATGCAGATGGGGCGCGTACGGGACTGAAAGAGGCCGAGGATCCAAAAATCCCGTTCGGAACGTGGATGATTGCCCCACAAAGACGTGGACGCCCGCCGGCGGCAGGCTCGATCAAAAATGCGAAGGTGGGCAATGGCCGAGGGGGGGGGGGGGGGAAATATTGGCGGACATAGGGCGGTAGTAAGTGCCTCCAGGTTCGCGGCCTTGACATCGGATGAGGCAGGTATGGAAGCAGGTGCGGAAGAAGCGGGGGACAAAGCCGGAGCAGATGATGAGCGGGAAAATAATGTGCAATCAGAAAAGCCGGCAGAAGCTTACCAGGGTATACCACGGGTGTCGCAGAATCCGGGGCAGAGAGCTGAAGGCACCCGCAGACCCAATGTCGTGGTGAATGAGAAACAGATTAATAACGACCCTACACCGACTCGTGAGCTGAGAGCGAATCCAAATCAGGCCGGAACGAGGAGGTTGGTGGGGGAGAGGCCCAGGCGTGCGGCGGAGGAGAGCGAGCATGTGGTTGTTCGGGGCGAGAAAGGTGGCTTAGTGATTCATTCCTCGCGTGTCTATGCGGGCGATACGGGAGATGTGCTACCGTCCCCAGTTTGGCAAGACACTAGGGAGCACTTTGGCGACCCACCGGAGGTCTTTGACAACGAGGGAGACGCGGTGATGTGCCTAGGCGAGCAACAGGAAGATGAAGGTAACGGAGGAGCCCAATAAAGCTCCTCCGCCTTTGGGTTTTCCTTCTCTCGGGTTTTTATCTCTTGTGTCTTGCCTATGCTTTTTTTGCGTATCGTGTTCAACTTTTTTAAGCTGGTTATCTCCATGAACTGTCTATTCTGGAATTGTCAGGGTGCAGGTGGAAAGCCGTTCCTGCGCGCCCTAAAGTTTCTCATAAAATCGCATAGGCTTAAGATGATCGCACTTTTTGAGCCCAAGGTCTCCGGCGATCATGCAAATCTTATATGCAAACAGATTGGCTTCTCTGATTGGATTAGAGTGGAGGCAATTGGGTTCAGTGGTGGTATTTGGATTTTTTGGGAAGATTCACTGCGAGTCACGGTTTCCTTTACTCACCCCCAATTTGTTTTGTTGCAGGTGTGGGAGAGTAGCCAGCCACCGTGGTGGCTTGCTGCAGTTTATGGCAGCCCTACACACCACCTTCGGAGGCGCCTCTGGCAGGATCTAAGGCAATCAACACGTGGGATTGTTGGGCCTTGGATTGCAGCCGGAGATTTTAATTCGGTACTGTCTAAGGACGAGACGAGTAATTACTCTTCTTTTTCTTCCCGCAGGTGTTCTGACTTCGCGTATTGGATCCTGGAAGAAGGTTTAATTGATATGGGATTCTCAGGGCCAAATTTGACTTGGGTGAAGGATGGGAACACCAACAACACTAAGGGTGCCCGATTAGACCGGGCTCTGTGTAGTGCCGATTGGAGAATGCGGTTTCCTGAGGCGTCTGTTTCTCACCTCGCTCGTTTCTCATCTGATCATGCTCCTATCCTCGTTTGCCTGGATGGAAGCAAGAACCGGAGGAAAGCGGCTCCCTTCGCTTTTCAAGCGGCATGGCTCACACATGCGGACATCCGTAATGTAGTTGCGCGAACCTGGGAAGAGGGGAAGGGGGTGATGGCAAATACGGGCACCTTGGCTAAAACCTTGTCAACCTGGAATAAAGATGTATTTGGTAATGTTTTCAAACGCAAGAAGATTCTAGCCTCCCGCATAAGTGGCATACAGAGGTGTTTAGCGGAAAACCATCACAAGGGGCTTATCAAGCTCGAGCTCAAACTCAGAAAAGAGCTGGAAACCACTCTCCAACAAGAGGAGCTTATTTGGTTTCAAAAATCGCGCGAAGATTGGATTTGTTCGGGTGACAGAAACACGGCATTCTACCATGCAGCAACGGCAATACGCAAAGCCCGGGCCCCGGTTCGGGCGCTTCTTGATGAGAATGGGGAGTGGATCACGCAAGATGAAGCTTTGAAACGCCACGTCAGACTTTTTTATAAGCAGCTCTTTACGGAAGATACAGAGAGGACTATACCAGTTCAGTACTATGCTAATTTTCCCCGCCTGCGGCCTATTGACTGGGCGGTGTTTAACAGATCAGTCTCGAAAGAGGAAGTCCATGCTGCGCTCAAGGACATGAAGCCTTTCAAGGCGCCAGGCCCGGATGGTTTCCAAGCGGGGTTTTATCAACACATGTGGGACAAGACAGGGGATGACGTGTTCAGTTTGGTTAAGCAGGCTTTCGCAACAGGTACTTTGCAGGAGGGTCTGAATGATACCCTTGTGGCATTGATTCCTAAGGTTCAGAGCCCGGAGACAGTCAAACAGTTTAGGCCAATCAGCCTATGCAACGTTGCGTACAAAATTATCACGAAGACGATCACCAACAGACTTAAGCTTATCCTACCTCAAATAGTAGGCCCTTTCCAGAGCTCTTTTGTCCCCGGCAGGCAGATTACGGACAACATCCTCATTTTTCAGGAGGTGATGCACACAATGCGGGAGAAGAAGGGTGAAACTGGGTACATGGCAATCAAGCTGGACCTTGAAAAGGCCTACGACCGGCTCTCTTGGGATTTTATTCGGGATACCCTGGATAAGACAGGTTTTACGGGGACTCTGAAGGAACTTATGATGACTTGTATCCAAACTCCCAGGCTTTCCCTAATCTGGAATGGGGAACGGTTGGAGGCGTTCAGACCGGAAAGAGGCATTAGACAGGGTGACGCAATGTCTCCCGCTATCTTTGTGTTATGTATGGAACGTTTAAGCCAGATGATTGTCATGAATCGAGAAAAGAAGGTTTGGAAGGGTATAAAAATTGCGAAAAATGGCCCCACTCTAACTCATCTTTGTTTTGCAGATGACATGGTGCTCTTTACGGAGGCCTCAATGGAACAAGCAAATGTCATTTTGGAATGCCTTGAGCAGTTTTGCCAAGCCTCGGGGCAAAAAATCAGTCTTAGTAAATCTCAAGTCTTCTTTTCAAAGAATACCAGCCGGCAAAAGGTAGACGACATCTCGCGGAGGCTCGGGATTGAGCGTACGACGAACTTGGGTAAATACCTAGGCGTGCCGGCCATACACGGCCGGGTCACCAGTGCCACCCATTCGGACCTGCTTGCTAGGATATCTGGTCGGCTAGACGGATGGAAAGCGAAAACCCTTTCGCTTGCGGGTCGAGTTGTCCTTGCACGCTCGGTTCTGAATGCTATGCCGGCTTATACCATGCAGACGACCTATCTTCCGAAGGGGGTTTGCTTGGAGATAGAAAAACGAACGCGCAAATTTGTGTGGGGATCCAGTGACGCGGATAGAAAGATGAACTTGGTAAATTGGAACTTGGTTACGACAGCAACAGAAGCGGGTGGGCTTGGAATTAAGCGTATGTGCGAGCTAAACATGGCTTATATGGCGAAACTAGGATGGAGGCTCCTGGCCGAGAAAGATAGTCTCTGGGCACAGACAATAAACGTGAAATACAGGAAGTCGGAGGACATCCATGACCTGAGACAGGGACGGCGAAAGGTTTCAAATGCTTGGCGTGGAATTGCAGCAGCTTGGCCGGCCATGCACCAGGGAGTGTCATGTGTTGCCCGAAGTGGTGCTTCCACTCGGTTCTGGATGGACAAGTGGATCTCTACGGAACCTCTTTACGACCAGCTTTTGGCGCCTATCCCTCTTCCGGAACTCTACGGTATGGTGCGTGACTATTGGGACGAAACAAGAGGATGGAAATGGGAATTGTTGGAACACGCACTGCCACAAGAAGAAATACGAAATCTTGCAGGCAAAGTCTTAACGTCGGCAGAGATTCAGGATGAGCTGGGATGGAGCATGGAGATTAACGGAAAGTTTACCGTCCGATCTATGTACCAAGCTTTGGTGGGCGATCACCGAAACGCTCCGGATGGCATGTGGCGTAGAATCTGGAGAATGAAAGTTCCAGCAAGAGTTAGCATGTTCCTTTGGCTCCTGCGACACAAGAAGCTTTTAACGAACGTCGAAAGAGCTAAAAGGAAGCTTACGGCTGATCCTTTTTGTTTTCTTTGTGCAGGTAAGGTGGAGGACCTTCAACACTTGTTTCGCGAGTGCCCAGCAGCAAAAGGAATCTGGGAAGCAAGCCTCCCTAGGCGAGTGAACGCGCAGCTGAATGGCCTTGCCTGGGAGCAGTGGCTCGAGATGAACCTGGAGGGTGATGTGAGACGTGGCTTCGATGAGAATTGGCAGGCTCGTTTTGGGGCAATACTATGGTGGATCTGGCGATGGAGAAACGAAGGGATTTTTAACCACAACATCCAACCGTTTGAGGTGAAGCTAGGCTGGCTTGCTAAGTATGACGTGGAGATCAAGGAGGCTTTTAAAAAGAGACTGAACCCGGGTACTGGAGTTATAACGGCAGCTAATGAGCAGGTGGGCTGGACGAAACCTTCACGAGGATGGCACAAGTTGAACGTGGATGGCAGTTGCAAGGGAGATGGAATGGCCGGATGTGGAGGTTTGATCCGGGATGAAGCTGGAGAATACTGTGCAGGCTTCTCGTCCAGCGTTGGTCGTTGTCAAGTGCTCGAAGCGGAAGCTTGGGGGGTGTTCCATGGTTTGCGTCTAGCGCGAGAGGAAGGTTGTGCAAAGCTTTTGGTAGAAAGTGACTCTAAGCAGCTTATTGATAAGTTGCGTAAGAAGGATAAAGCAAGCAGTAAAGTCTGCAACATTATGTGGAGGTGCATGCGTGAGGCTGATAGGTTGCAACAAGTGGAGTATGTTCATGTGCGTCGTGAGGGAAACAAAGTGGCGGACTGGCTGGCGAGGTCAGCTATTGCAACCCAAGTAGGGTACAGAGGTTTCAAGGAAGCTCCAATCGAGATAGAAGAGCTTCTCCAGCAAGACAAGATGGGAGCTACTTTTCATAGAAATCTTTGATTCTTTTGGGTTTCCCCCTCCCTTTTCAACAAAAAAAAAAAAACAATATTATTATGGTCTTGTGAAAATTAAATGTTGAATATCATCATTTCATTTTCACAAGACCATATGGCTTTATTATATATAGGATTAGATATTTAAACCAAATATTTTCCATTATCTCTCAGAAATTTCCGGAAAACGTCAAATCATCAACAATCATTTTTAATTTCTTCCACACAAAATGACAAAAAATAAATAAAAATCTGAAATGCCGTAGGAGGACTTGAGTCTGTATTGTCAATTTTCTCTAGAACACATGTTATTTACTTTGCCAAAGTATGCCGTGTTTATTAAGAGTTATTACTGGTGAAGACTTGACTTTTGACAACAACATTATTTGTGACTTTTCCACATAGGGAAGGGGAAATTTGGAGGACCGAGATGAGAGGTCCACCAATGAGCGCATCCTCGCGCAGCTCACGAGGCAGAATCGGATCATGGATGAAGGATTCTCGTCCTTGATTCTCGCAACAAGCTCATTGGACAGAAGAGTGGCTGCAATCGAGACCATGTTGGGCACATGTGGAGCTTCAAGCTCAGGAGCGGGAAACCAAGGTATACTCGAAATCTCAAACCTCACTTACCACCGACCTAATCAACCCCCACCCTACACTCGTTAAATGACAAACTTGAGCTACATTTCCTTAATTAGGAGACCAAATTGCATGACACCTAGGAGCAAATGGAGTAATCTGTGCTCGAGCTTCGGGGACAAAACTCCTTGTAATGGGGGAGGGTGTAACACCTCGTGTTACGGCCTCCATATCCAGATTAATTATTTAATTAATTCCGTTACCATATAATTAAAAAGGATTTAATTAGACTATAATCCCCATTAATTAATTAGTGTGGTCCACGATAGACCATGGACCCTTATCCTTAATTCTATAAGGAATATGAAAAGTGGACCTTTACCATTCAGATTCTAGTTAGGACTCCTAAATCTATATATAGGGACTTAGGAAGCATTTAGAAACCCTACCACAGTTAATTCTACCACGCAAGATATTCCCGAGGGGAAACCTACAAAGGAATTCCCCCCCCCCCCCACCCCCACCCAACCCACCCCCATCAAACGTAGAGGAATCTACTGGAGGGAAATCTTAGAGAAGAACCTTAGTAGCCAAGGATATTGATTAGGGCTAAGAGCTAACCCATGTCTCAACAATACCTATTTTCCTTGCTATATCTTATTCATTGGCTCATTTAATAATCGTATTTGTGATTGAGTCTTGATAGAGCTTCGATTAGGGTTTATATTGTATTTATTAATTTGATAATCTTGATGTTCTTGATATTATGATTCATTATATATATGATCTTGCATTTTTTAATTATTTCTAGAGCTCGTCCTTAGGGTTTATATCGTGAATTTCGTATTATGATGTTATTGGTATATTGGTTGGGATTATGCGTGATCGGGTGTTGAGTCTAGCCTAGAACTTGTATTTAGTACTTTGCAGATAGATTACTTGGTGTTCTTGTGGTTTCGGATGATCCTGAATCATTATATGATTAATGTGGAGTCTTGGCATGTTTAGGAATCGTGTTAGAACGCATTTGGTATGAGTCTTGATTTAATCCTGTTAATTGAATCTGTGGTGTTGTCGTTATGTCTTTAAATGTGTCTGGACATGGTTTCGGGTTCCACGAGAAACCTCGGGACCGAAAAGTTGCCTGAGTATCAGTGGGGGTAGGTGGGGGCACGGGTACCCGCCACCTACCCGCTGCCCGGGAACACTGTTCTAGCGGGTAGCCAGCGGGCGGAGGTCTGCCCGCCGGCCACCCGCTGGAATAGTGGGTGGCTACCGACGAGTGGTGCTCCACCCGCCACCCACCCGCTAAAATTGTGTGGTGCGTCATGATGTCTTTCTCCGTTTGTTGTTTCCCCGTGTCCCGTTGTATCCCGTTTGTCATGTACGAGTCTTGTTTGATGTTCTGAATACCGTCCTAGGAGTTTATGTGTAATACGTGTCGTTATAGTTATGTTTTGATTGTTATTGATTGATTATGTGTTGCTTGATTGAATGGTGATGAGTATCGTGGTCATTGCGCAATGGCCGGTGTGAATGATGATGATGATGATGATGACGATGAGATTGTGATTGGTGGAAATGAATTGTTAGCAGTTGGCACCACTTGTGCCTGGTCATTATACTAAAGGTACAGGCCATAGCGGTTACTGTGTTGAAGGCACAAACCCACCTTAGACCTGCTTGCCGTTGAGTATGGGTCATGTTATAAGTGTTGCGGTGTCATGTTAGAGCTATATGCGCTGACCCCTTGATATTGGCACTAGAGGTGCGAATCATGTGAATGTCACTGCGGCACCATCTTAATATGTTGGTGGTTGATAGGTGGTTTGTCGGTGGGGGCATGTAGTTTCCCGGAGGAATAAGGGGTGGTGATATAAGGGTGGCCTGGAGGTATAGGTTGGAACTGATATAAGGACGAAGGGGAGCTACAAGGTTGGACCTTGGTATAAGGTTGGAGGATGAATTGTGTTCTTTGATGACTACTTGCTTATTGATTGTCTTGAATGCCTTTGTTGCCTCTAATTGTTAATTGTATGTTTATCTGTCTATTATGTCTTGTATTGTGTTCTTATGATGCATGTTAGTCTCTGTGATTATTCTATACTGTTGAGTCTGTTAATGTGCCATGAGTCTTGATCTTGGATTTAAATTAGAGTCTCATAAGTATATATGTATTCTAGTTTCAAAATGAGTTTCTTATATCTAGCTATATTGTACTTAACGCGTTGGAGTGCGTTACCAGCATTATTCGCTAACGGTTGTTACACCGAATGTTTTTCAAGTGATGAGCATTAGCTACGGAGCGCTCTAGTCGGAACCTTGGTCATAGTTTAATTAGTTCTAGCATAATGGATGGCCTGCGTGCCTTGGGTTGTAATTGAATATCGATTTATGGTTTGACCATGCTTGGTTAGTTTAACATGTGCATCTAGGTTCTCAAACCTAGGTGTGGCATAACACCCCGACTCTTATGGATAGTATATGCTCTGTTTGGGATTTGAATAAGAAATCTCATGCTATCATATAACTTAATGAGCAATCTCATGCTATCATATAATACATGCAACTCTTATAATCATGCAATAAAATGAACATGATGCTCTTGTATAAGTATAGATAGATATACAAACACACTCTTTCTTTGGTAAGAAGAACACTTGTTGAACGGAGGTTTCTTAGAGTCACAATGATTCGCTTTTCTTTACTTTCTCTAGAGTCATGTTGACTCGCTTTCTTTAGAGTCGCAATGACTCGCTTTTTCTCTTTACTTATACTCGTGGGCGAGGTAGGAACTTCACCATAATGGACCTATCTGGGCTCGGTATCTAGCCGGCCTAATACTCATCTCGCCTACAAAACCACTCTCTTGGTTCTTTACTCAAACTCTGTGGAATCAGGTATCGTATTTGTCAGTGTGCAATCCCCCTGACCGGGATTCCAAGCCCGGCGGGTAGTATCCTACCTAGTAACTCGGGAATATCAACCTCGTTACTTCACATCGGATCACAATGTCCGTTTCTTTCTTTACTTTCACTTTTTTTTTTCCCGAGAGTACATAGTCCTAACGGGTCTCCAAAACCTCGGATTATTCGCACTAGGTACATATAGATATAACTCATGCAACAACTTTACTTATGCACATAGCTTCTCAACAACTTCTCTTTTCTCACAAATTAGAAATCAAATATCATGCAACTTGTAACACCCCGTGTTACGGCCTTTAATCCCGAATTAATTATTTAATTAATCCCGTTAATAATAATTAAAAAGGATTTAATTTGGTTAGGATTCTGTTTAATTAATTAATATGGTCCACCATGGAGCGTGGACCCTTATCCCTAAACCAAACCCTTAGTCCTCTAAGGAATAGAATTAGTAAACCCATACCATTCAGACCCTAATTAGGACTCCTAAATATATATATAAGGACATAGGAGGCGCCTAGAAGTCACACCACAATAGATATCACCACACAAGAATTCCCAAGGGACTCCCCACCACCAAGCCTAGGGAAATCAAACGGATGGAAATCTTAGGGAAGAACCTTAATAGCCAAGGGAGGATTAATTAAGGCTAAGAGGTAACCCATGTCTCAACAAAACCTATTTTCCCTGCTATAATCTCCTTCTTTGGCTCCTTCTGTATGCTTGTGTCTTGATAAATCTTTTATAATAATTGTGATATGATCTTGATGATTGATGAGATGATTTTATGTGTGATCTTGATGATCTTGATGATGATAAGAGGATCTTGATGTTCGGGTGATGATTCTTGATAAATCTTGATGTTTCTTGATATTAGAGATAAACTATGACTTTGATGATTTGAATGGGATTAGAGCCCTAGGTTGAATTGGGAATTGTGTATTGTGATGTTCTTGATATATATTTGGGTGGGATTTCGCATGTTCGGGTGTTATTTATGTTTAGAAGTCATGTTAGGATGTGTTCAATATGATTCTTGGTTTTGATCCATTACTTGGCTACGTGGTGTCGTCGTTTGTGTTTAAAAGTGTCTAAGCATGGTTTCGGGTTCCACGGAGGATCCCGGGACGTTTATTTTGATAAAGAGTCAGTGGGGGGTAGGTGGGGGTAGGGGAACCCGCCACCTACCCGCTGCCCAAAGAGGACGCCGCCGGTAGCGGGCAGGCGACTGCCCGATGAGCACCTGCTGCCCGGAAGCTTGAAGCCGGCGAGTGGCCCTCCACCCATCGGCTACCCGCTGGTTTGTTGCCCACTTCGGGTCTTTGGCTTCCCCATTTGATGTTCCCCAATCCCCATGGTGTCCCAACGAACCCCGTTTGTCGTGCATGAGTCTAGTTTAATGTTTCGGGTGCCATTCGTAGGATATAAGAGTCTTAGGAATTGCATGCTAGTTGAATCGGTAACCCGTTGGCCTAGGTGGAAGATGCATGAATCCCTT